AGGCAGGCTCCTGGTGAGCACGGTGCTTGGGAGTGACAGGGCTGAGCCCTGAGCTCACCCTGGAGGGTCTGCTCCCACCCCCTGCACGTTGCTCAGCCCTAACATAGGGTCCTTTCATGCCTCCTAGGCCTCAAGGAAGCCTCGCCCAACGGTCCTGTAAGCCAGGAGGGCCTCCCAGCAACTGGCCCGGCCACAGGGGCCACGCCTCCAAGGTACACTCGTGCACAGCTGGGGGGTCTTCCTGCGGAGGGTGGGTGCGCAGTGGGCTAGGGCCCTCAGGCCACTGACACCACTCCCCTCCTTGGGCTCAGCACCCTCCCACCTCCCACTTCGAAGCTCAAGGATGAAGACTTCCCCAGCCTCTGCGCCTCTGCGTCCTGCTCTTCCTCCATGTCGTGCTCTGCTGCGGCAGCCCTGGGCCCCGTGGGGCTGGCACTGGCATACCCTGTCCCTGCCAGGGGCAGGAGCACCTTCCAGGAGGATGACTTCCCCGCCCTGGTGTCCTCCACCTCCAAGCCCAGCACCACCCCTACCAGCCTCATTTCCGCCTGGAACAGCAGCAGCAGCAAGAAGGTGGCGCATCCCACCCCGGGGGCCCAGACTGCTGGCGGGAGCAGCCAGCCCCCCAGGAAGGCTGGGAAGGGGGGCAAGGGTAGCAAGAAGGGCGCGCCACCACCCTCAGAGGAGGAGGAGGAGGACGGCCGCACCGGCCTCACCGCCCAGGAGCTGCGGAGCGTGCCCACCACGGTAGCTGTCTCCTCCCTGCTGGCGCTGGCCTCCACCCATACCCTCCCCAAGGTCGGCAAGAAGAAGAAGGTGGGCTCGGAGAAGCCGGCTGCCACCTCACCCCCCCCACAATCCCCTGACAAAGATGGGCCCCCTGGGGCCGAGCAGGCCCCCACCACAACTGCCAGCAGAGCCGAGGGACCCGTTGCCCTCATCGTCAATGGACACACAGAGGGGCCGGCCCCGGCTCGGAGCACGCCCAAGGAACCTCCTGGGCTCCCACGGCCCTTGGGCCCCCCCCCCTGCGCCACACCCCAAGAAGACTTCCCAGCACTTGGAGTTCCCTGCACACCCAGGATGCCCCCTCCCCCAGGTATGTGTGTCTGGCTCTGGCCTGCTTCTGGGCATCTGGGAGGGGGCCGGGGTAGGAGAGTCAGACTGGAGCCCCGGGGTTGAGGGGAGCACACCCTGAGGGGCAGTCACAGGCCAGCAGGTGGGGGGAGGGAAGCCTAGTGGCACCGCTGACTATGAGCAGGGCAGTTATCCTCCGCATCCCTTGCCTCCCTGTAAAAGGGGGCAATCCTAGTGCTCTCTGGAGATGGGGGAGTAAGTCGCCCTAGGCCAGGATTGCCGCGAGGGAGCTCAGTGTGTGGCATCATCGGGTCCTGGTCCTACTGGACGGAGCCCGACCTCGGTGGGCTGAGTAGCCTGGGAAGCCACGGCAGCATGTGGCAAGCAGGGCTCACATTCGGGTCTTGCTGTGCCGCCCCTGCAGGCTTCAACGCTGTGGTGCTCCTGAAGGGCACCCCACCCCCGCCTCCGCCCGGCCTGGTGCCGCCCGTCAGCAAGCCACCCCCCGGCTTCTCGGGCCTCCTGCCCAGCCCCCACCCAGCCTGTGTCCCCAGCACTGTCACCGCCACGAAAGCGTAAGTGGGGGTGGGCCGCCCAGCCTCGTGCCCCTAGAGGCCGGGGAGTGCCCTCACCTTGGTCCACCCCAAAGGCTTAAGCCACAACCTCCTGCCCGTGTTCCGACCCTCAGGCCCAGACTGACACCTGCGCCACAGGCCTACCTGGTGCCCGAGAACTTCCGGGAGAGGAACCTGCAGCTCATCCAGTCCATCAAGGACTTCCTGCAGAGTGATGAGGCCCGCTTCGGCAAGTTCAAGAGCCACTCGGGGGAGTTCAGACAGGTCAGCCAGGCGGGTGTGGGGGGCCAGCACGGCCACTGCGGGGACTCAGGCCTGGGCTGGGCGTGACTGGTTTGGCTCTGGGTGGCAGGGCGTGATCTCCGCAGCCCAGTATTACAAGAGCTGCCGCGACCTGCTCGGGGAGAACTTCCAGAAGATTTTCAACGAGCTGCTGGTGCTCCTGCCCGACACGGCCAAGCAGCAGGAGCTGCTGTCCGCACACACGCACTTCCGGGGCCGGGAGAGGCCTCCTGGTGCCAAGGCCAAGAAGAACAGGAAGAGCGCATGGCAGGCTAACACCCGGCCGGCAGGCCTGGACTGCTGCGTCTGCCCCACCTGCCAGCAGGTGCTTGCGCACGGTGACGTCAGCGGCCACCAGGCACTGCACGCCGCCCAGGACAACGACTTCCCATCCCTGCAAGCCATCGCCAGGATCCTCACGTAGCCCCCCCAGCATGGGCAGGAGCTGCCACACCCACGAGCCTCCTTCCTCCTCCCTCCTTCCTGGCTGCCCTGCAGCCAGGTAAGGCCCTGCTGAGGCCGCCGCTCAGGCCCCTCCGCCGGCCAGCCCGCCCGGGGTCGCCAGGAAGGCCCACCCGCCCTGTCCGCACACCATCACGTAGGAGTCCATCCAGTTTCCTCCTGGGAGGTGGGCAAAGACCCCTGCCTCCGTGCTGGGCTGGTCTGGGTTTGTGTTTTCCTGCTTTTGGAAGGTGCAAGGGGAGGGAAGGGTGGGGACGCAGGAACCTGTCCATGCTCTCAGAGCTGGTGGCAACAGCGGGCCCTCTCCAGGCCCCCTGAGCCCGAGGGCTACAGCGCCGCCGCCCCCGAGCCAGAAGCTGCGGGGCCAACCGGGACCGGAGTCAGATGTTGAGTGTGTTGTGTAAAGTTGGCTATTTCGTGATTCAAGAACGTTCAGGATTAAAAACAGACACGAAATTGTGCTACTTGAAGTTGAATCTTTGTATGAGACAAGCTGAATCTGGGATCTCAAATTGCCTCTGACCTTTTATAAGACCGTGTATCTTCAAATAAATTTATTTTGCAATAATGCACATAGCTGGTGTTCTGAGCTTCTCTGCCCTCCCAGGTCACCCTCAGGGAGGGGGGAGCTCAGAGCCGTCCAAGGCCCCAGCTCCGATGGACAGCCAGGGGCCAGCTGGGGTGGGGGACGACCTGTGTGCACAGCTGGGTAGCTGGGCTTTGCTCTCGGGACGCGGCCGCCGGTCTGGGCCCAGGGCCCAGTCCTGGACATCTTGCACTGCCCAGGCTTTCCAGGAATAGACACAGCCATGTTTGACCTATGCTTATGTCCCCAGTAAAACCGTCCTTCCAGAACGTGGGAGTCCTACAGACTCCAGGTTTGCACCCACAGACTAGTAAAGAACTCTGAACGATAAACAAGAGCGCTTCAGAAGCAGTGGAGGGCGCATCTGAAATTCTGCCAGAGAATAATTTGTGCTTAATTATTTGGATGCAGTATCTCGGGAGGGGACCAGACCGAGAAATCGCCCCTTTCTGCCCTAAACACACGTAAATAGTAGAAGACAGTTCTAAACACATAGCCACATCCAAATCAGGCAAAGGAAATGTCCTCACATGAGAAGAAACATGTCTTTGGAAGTGCGTACCCCCTGGGATGGGGGTACCCAGGACGATGAGGACCAGAGGCGCACGGCCGTGGGCTTGGCCGGCGCTTGGGGCCCGGTGCAGACAAGAGCCTTCAGCCTCTTTACCCTCCCCTGGGCTGTGTAGAGGTCACCTGCCTTCCCCAGACAGGCCGGTAGCCCCTCACAGCCTATGCCCCCTTTGCAGACCTGAGGACAACCAGCCCCACAGAAGAGTAATCTGGAAAACGGGGGATCTTGTTGACAACGTTGAAAACAAGCTCTTCTTAACGAAGCAAGAACCACGCTAACACACGGCAGCGCTGAGGTGGTGCTGGCCGTGTGCCAAACCCTGCTCTGAGCTCTGCCCCTGTGTTGGCCTGCCCCCCAGCCCACCCGCATGGCCGCAACCATTCTTTTGGAAGGGGAGCCCGGGGCACCGACGAGAGACTTGCCCGAGACAGCCCTGCCTGCTTGGATGTGGCATAGCCAGCCCTCCAGCCCCAGGGACGGTTCTCAGCCCCGCTGCCCTCAGCCGGGACATTATTAAATAGTTAGACGTGAACAAGTAACTGAGCTAAAAATCCCAGTGGATGGGTTCAGAAGCAAACAGGACCAAGCTGGGGAGATCTCCAGAGGCTGAGTTAGCTAGCCGGGGAACGTGGCTCCGGAAGCTGCCTGCAGCACCTGATGGGGGTCCCAGGAACAGAGGTGACACGTAGAGACATAATGACTCCCTTTCTGTGCGGTGAAGAAAAATAGAAAACTAAACAAGCACTGGACGCCTGGCTGGCTGTGTCGGAGGAGCATGGGACGCTCGATCTCAGGGTCGTGAGTTCAATCCCCATGTTGGGTGTGGCGATTACTTAAAAATAAAAAAAAAGTAGGGGCGCCTGGGTGGCTCAGTTTGTTAAGCAACTGCCTTCGGCTCAGGTCATGATCCTGGAGTCCCGGGATCGAGTCCTGCATCAGGCTCCCTGCTCAGCGGGGAGTCTACTTCTCCCTCTGACCCTCTCCCCTCTCTCTCTCATTCTCTCTGTCTCAAATAAATAACTTCTTTATAAAAAAATAAAAATAAAAGTAAATGGTTGTTTAAAAAAAAAACAGGACCCCTCGGTGGCTCAGTCGGTTACGCGTCTGCCTTTACCTCAGGTCATGATCTCTAGGTCCCGGGATCGAGTCCCGCATTGGGCTCCCTGCTCAGTGGGGAGCCTGCTTCTCCCTCTCCCTCTGCTGCTCCCCCTGCTCGTGCTCTCTCTCTATCAAATAAATAAATAAAATCTTAAAAAAAAAAAAAGCACTAAGAAGGATAATTTTTTTTTTTTTAAGATTTTATTTATTTGACAGAGAGGGCAAGAGAGCACGAGCAGGGGGAACATTAGAGGGAGAGGGAGAAGTAGGCCCTCCGCCAAGCAGGGAGCCCGATGCGGGGCTCGATCCCAGGACGCTGGGATTGTGACCTGAGCCAAAGGCAGACGCTTAACCATCTGAGCCACCCAGGCGCCCCAAGAATAATGCTTTAAAAAGCCACATCTCGACACAACACAACTTAGAAAAAAATCCCAGTAAGTTTTACCGAAGGGAAAAAACAGATAACCCGCTAAAGAATACGAATCATACTGTCATCACTGCTCTCGTCAACAGTATAGGATCCTAAGGAGAATACAGAAATACCTTCAAAGTTCTAAGGAACAAGACTTCACATTTATAGTCCCAGCAAAACAATCCTTGAAGAACGTGGTAGTAACATGAAAGAAGTTCACATCCACAGACTGATGAAGGAACTGCTAAAGATGTGCGGCGACAAAAAATAATTCCTAGTCCTGCTGTTCTAAAAAGAAGAGGTGGGCATCTCCCCAGCATTTCCGAGAGTTGGCTCTGGGCAACCCAGGGGCAGCCCAGCGGGATGTGCAGTGGGGGCCTCAGGGACCCCCAGAATGTGGACATCAGCCTGGCCACCACCTGCTGCCCCTTCCTGGGTTCTGGGCCCCGAGGGGGCAGATCCCAACCTCGGGCACTCACAGGGGCAGGGATAGAAATGACTCGGCCAGCCTCGGCACCAGGTAAACTCACTTACAGTCTTTTATTGTAAAGAAGTTGCAGTTGAAACATGGGACACTGAAGATACACAGTCACGGAGTGTTCTTTCAGAAGAGGGAGAGAAAGATTCATATATACAAAAACTGTAAACATGTTCACTTAAATACCCACACAGAATTGGTCTATGCTACAATGTAAAGGGTAGTCACCCAACTGCAACTCCAGAGGGAGGTGCCTCTCTGTGAGAACCGAGCCCGGCAACTGCGTTTGGTATTAACATAACTTTGAGCGATGCATGAGTAGTCAGCTATGCAGAGGGACCCCAACCTCGGGCTGTGCTGTAAAACGGGGTGCAGGGCAGGTTGCTGAGGGGCTGGTCCGGGAAGCGGAAGGTAAAGGGGTTTGCACAGATGGGCCATGTCCAGGGCACTGTGGGCACACAGAGCCTCTAGGCCTCCCTCCTTGTGAGGCGCCTGTCTTGCCAGGCATCCAGGTGCCCCAAGCCTCCCTCAGGCAAGGTCTTACTGAAGGGGTGGGAGAGGGCTGGTGCCCAGGCCTACAGCCATGTTGTGCCTTCCTAGCCCAAAGTGCCCGCATCCGCGCAGGCTCCTGGGCCGAGGCAGGTAGGGGCAGGAGCAGGGGCCACAGACAGTGGGGCTGCTTGCGGGGAACTATGAGGTGAAGCCCGAAGACCTGACCACAATCACAACATCAACAGGACCAGGCTACTCTAGCGAGCCCGTGAAAGCAAACGGATGGAGGCTCCAGACAGTGTGCACACAGCCCCGCAGGGTGAACCAACACAATTCCGGAGCAGGGACCGTCACTACCCCTAGGGACATGGGATGGGAGCAGTGCCCATGCTCCAGGGGACAGCCCCTGCACCTAGCTACGGAGGGCAGCTAGACCCCTGACCCCAGAGTGGACAGGTGAGCCACGGGCTAGCTGGCTCATGAGAGGAATGACCCGCTCGCAGGCTGATCCACTAGAAGCTGGAGGATACATGTCCAAGGCTGCACTGTCCCCTCCTCAGGACCTCAGGCCTGGGGTCAGCGACTAAGCAGACAGGGGGAACTTGGGTTGAGGGGGCAGCCTAGGCACCCTGGGAGCTACCGTCTCTCGGCCCCAGAGGGCCCACAGTGGCCACCCTCTCTGTCACACCCGGCACTAGGCCAGGAGGACCTGAGGGAGGTCCCAGGAAACCCTGGACCCTGGCTTGGGGCAGCCTTCCAGCCCCGGTGGGGGCTTGCCGGCCACTAGTAGGCAGGCACCTGGTACCCTTTGGGGCTGGTGTCCAGGGTCTCGGTGAAGGGAGGGCTCTGGTAGGTCTCGGTGCCCTCCACGCCGCTGCCCACCGGGTAGCCAGGGTAGGCCTGACCCGCCCCGGCGCCCAGCTGTTCGGTGGCAAAGAGCGACATGTCCGTGCCCAGGCGGAACCGCTTCAGGGCCTTCACAGTGAGCGCCACCTGAGGGGGAGCCCTGGGTCAGCCAGCACCGACCCCGCCCCACCCCGGCCCAGGCCCGGCCCCCGCCGGCCGCACTCACCCAGCTGAGGATGGAGAAGAAGCTGAAGGCGATGGCGGCCCGCGCCGCGTCTCCCGCCTGCAGCGTGGCGGGCCCGGGCGCCGTGCGCTGCCACTGGTTGGTGAGGAAGCAGAAGCCCACGAACCACAGGAAGGACCAGAGCCCTGCGGGCAGGCGGTAGGGTCAGGGGAGGCCCCGCCCCGCGCCGGGCCTCGCCCCCGCACGCGCGGGCAAGCCCCGCCCCGCCTCGCGGAGCCCAGAGGCCCCGCCCCCCGGCCCGCCCACCTGAGAAGCCCAGGTCGAGCAGCACCGCGCGGCGGCGGTCGCGGACGCTGCTGATCTGCTGGAAGCGCAAGTCGAGCAGCAGGAAGGCGGCGCAGGCAAGGAAAGCCCCAAGGCCGAGCGCGACGCCGAAGCGGCAGGCGCCCGCGTTCCCGTTGAAGACGCAGCGCAGCTCGGGCCCGCTGTCGGTGTTCACGTAGCCCTCGTTGATGATGGGCCCGAAGACGGCGATGGAGAACACCTGCGGGCGGCGGGCGGCGCTCAGGGCCCTGCGGTGGTCCCCTTAGCCGCTGTCTCTGTCACCCACCGCGACTGCTCACGCCCTCAGGCCTGTCCCCACGTTCCCCGGCAGCACGGGGCCCATTTGTGGGTGGGGTCTTCGGGCACCCCTCCCTTAATAGCTGCCTCAGGTATTTTAAATTTATGGACGGCATTACTAGTGAGCATCTACTATGCCCAAGCACTATGCTTAAAACCGCTACTTTACATGCATTCCTCCTAGAATCCTCCCCTCAAACCACAAGGGGGCCGTTGTCATCCCCTTTATAGATGGGGAAATTGGGGCTTCAATTAGTGAAGTCACTTGGCTGATAAAAGACGGGGCTGACTTTCAAACTGGGTCACTGGCACTGTGTGGGGCCCATAGGGTGTCTGCATGGCCCCCTCGAAACTGTAGGAACAGGAGCCTTCACCTGGACCAGTGATTCCTAGGCTGCAGCGGGTGACGCTATGGGAGGCAGGTGTGGAGAAGGGGGAGGCAAGAGCACAGGGGGGAGCAGCGCAAGGACAGGGGCACAGCTGTCACCCAGCCCCTCATGGAACCCACCCTCAGCATCTGGGAGCTGTGTGGCCCTGCTTCCTAACATGCCAAATATAGTAACAGGTACAGCTCATGGAGTGTTGGGGCCAGAGAAAATAATGCCCACCCAGCATCCTGCACTTGGTGGGCACCCAATGGATGATAGCCCCGTGTGACTGATTATTAGCATCATAAGTGTTGGGGCTCAAAGGCGATAGTATTGGGGCACCTAGGTGGATCAGTTGGGTGAGCGTCTGACTCGATTTCGGTTCAGGTAGTGATCTCATGGGTCACTGGATTGAGCCCCGAGTAGGGCTAGGGCTCCGGGCTTAGCAGGGAGTATGCCCGAAATTTTCACTCTCCCTCTGTCTTCCCCCAACTTGTGCGCTCTCTAACAAACAAACAAACAAGTCCTTTTTTAAAAAGGTGATACTGTTGAACTCTGGGGCTCAGCCAACTTCAGCATCCCCTTACCACAAGGGCTGAAAGGCAGGTAGGTGGTAGACCATAGTCATTTTACACTTTTTTTTTTTTAAGTAGGCTCCACGCCCAACCTGGGGCTTGAACTCATGACCCTGAGTTGCATGCTCTGAAGACTGAGCCAACCAGGCGCCTCTGGACCAGTCATTTTAAACCAGATGCTGCTCTTTTAGCTCTGGGCAGCCTGTGTTTCTAAAAAAAGACCTCCAGTTTCAACTTCATTTCTCCTCCCCCTCTCCAGCTCCTTGAGATGGAGTCAAGAGGGAAACCCAGGTGCAGGGCATGGACATGTGCCCCCAGAGTGGTCCACAAGTCGGACCAGAGCTGGCACCAGAACACAGGGTTCCTCCTTCCTAATCTGCACAAAGTCACCCCACCCTGGGCACCGCTCTCCTTGAAGACAAGCCAGTAGGTGCAGCTGGCTGGCACCAGGTGCCACCAGCTAAATAAAACCCAGAGATCGTCACCCCACCTTCTCATCTCTCCTGCCTGGAGAGGTGGGAAGGAGGAGCAGGCCACCTGGCCTAGGGATGCCCCAGTAGTCTAGGTTGTCCCCAAATCTGCCCCTCCCACACCACCCCCAGGAAGCCCTCCCCGTGCAGAGCCCCTTCTTGCTGCCCCACCCAGTGGAATCCCAGCGCACCCCCCACATACACACACAATTGCAACTGGAGGGCCTGGGAAAGGGCCAGCTCCCTTGGAAGGAACCTGGAGGCTGTGTGTGCGGGAGAAGCAGGTGTAAGCGCTGCTTGATAGTACTCGGCTTCCATAGCCCCCTCCTCGTGCTGAGGCTGAGTGCTCAGACCCAATCCCGTCCCCGCCCCTGTGTCCGCTTCCAGGTCGTGAGAACAGGAAAAACGGGGCGAGGGCTGAGGAAGGGGACGGAGTTAGATCTAAGGAGGAATTGGAGGATGGGGGCGGCGGGCGGTGACCTCTCAAGGTCCCGGGCGGTTGCCGTCGGCCCCTCCCCCTCCCGCAGGTGGGCGCGCCCAGCCCGGTGACGTCACCCCAACCTGCGGCTGGCGGGGGAGGGGCCGGCGGGGACGAGGATGGGGTTGAGGGGCGAGGGGCGAGGGGCAGCGGGGAGGGACGAGGGATGAGAGGCAAGGCGGGACCCGGGACCGGGGCGGGGGCCGGGACCGGGGCCACTCACCCAGGACGCGACCCGCAGTAGGGTCTGCGGCCGCCGCGCGAAGCTCACGGGGTCCATGGCGGCCCCCGCCCGGCCCGCGCCGAACGAGCCTCCCTCCATGGCCAGCCCAGGAGGGACGCGCGCCCCCGGCGCCCTCTGTCTGTCTGTCCGTCCGGCCGGCCCCGCCCGAGGCCGCCCGGGTGTGTTGCCGAAGGTGCTGGTGCTGGTGCTGCCGCTGCTGCCGCCGCTGCCGCCGCCTCCCGGGAGCGCGCGCCGGCCGCGGCGGGGGCGCGCGGGGCGGGGCCGAGCCCGTGCCCCCCGCCAACTGGTCCGCTTGCGGGGCTGGAGCCCGCCCCTCCCTCCGCCGCCCCGCCCACAACCCCTTCACCTGCTAGACCCGGGTCTGAGATGCGAGACCACCCCCCAGGCCCCAAGAGGGGCAGGGGCTCGGGGCCTGGGGACTGAGTCCACCACCGCCCGTCACAGGTGAAGTCAGGAATCAGCAGGGAAGGTGGACGCTAGGCTCAGCCTTTGCGGCAGCCTGGCGAAGGAACAGGTAAACCTGACTCCGCCCCTCTGAGCTGGGCCCTTTCGTGAGTAAAGGGGTAACAGAGGTCCAGGGGCTCCACGTCTTCCCAATGGCTGCAGCTCCCCGTTTCAGCCCTCAGGAAAGGGGAGCCCGACTCCCTGAACTTGGTTCCCCCTTAGACCAGTTATTGGGTCCTTTCCTATGAACCCCCCAATTGCACCCTAGCTTCTCCTTCAGAGGGTTCTAGCCTCCCTGACAGGGAGGGAGAAGGCCTCTGCCCCCCAGGGGCACTTGTCCAGGAGGGCAGAGCCCACAGACCAGCATGGGTGGGAGTTGAGACATCTCTGCTCCTTTCTTGTGGGCAGATGTTGTCATTCCAAGGGTGCTCACTGAGCCCTTCACACTCCTGGGCCTCCCCAACTGACATGTGGCTGGCATGTTTAGTCGGGGGCTGAGGGGTGGGAAGAAGCATGAGAGATGGGGAATTTGGCTAAGCTGGGGGTCCTTGCTGGGTCTCTTCCACAGATCCCCCAGCCCAAGTTCAACAGGGTCCCTCCCTCGTGTTCCTGGCCAGCCTGGCAGGGTCCCGGACCACTGCTATGTTTCTGCCTAGGGCATTGAAAGAAACATTTGCATCTGTTGAGTATTTACAGTGCCAGGCGCTTCACAAGGCCCTGTGGGGGGTAGGGACTGTCTTCATACCACACACAGACAGCCGGTTGACTTCTTCCACCACATCAGGAAGTCAAGAGCTGGGACTCAAAGGGTCCCTGCTGTGCTATCCGTGTGGATGGAAGAGGACGCCTGGTCCACCCGCTGTGGAACCCGCCCCAAGGCAGGTGTGGCCAGATGTGCCACCCACGAGTCTTCCTACAAGTCCCCGACACTGGGTATCCAGTCTGTCCTGAGCAGTAGCCACTTCCCCTTTGGTTGCCCCCTTTAGTGCCAGGGCGATCCAGACATAACCACCCTCCTGGAAATGCTTGTGGATGTCACCCTCTCCTCACGTCCCTCTTTCACCAGTCCTTCTCATCGCCCTTTCGGGGTTCTCTCTTCTTGTCCACCCTGTGAGCTCCTGTAACCTCTCAACCTTGGGAGCCCTAGGGTATGATCCTGGGGCTTTTCTCCTCCCTCTCTGCCCAGTCCCTTGGTCTGCGAGCTGACAGCTTGAGCCAGAACCTCACCTTAAACTACAGTCCCACTTGTCTTAGCCTGGATTAGGGGGTGAAATCTCCAGGAAGCCAGAGTCAGGGGAAGAGGGAAGGGAGGCAGGACAGGAGAGCATATCCAGGCGCTCTGTTCCTGAGCCAGGCACGGCTTCCTTGGAGAAGTTGACTGGTTCTCCAACTAGCGGCTGACTTCGGAGAGGCCAGAAGAAAACCACGTGTTGGGAACAATTCCTCAATGGGAGGAACGAGGAGCAATTTCTCTGTTGGCTGCTCCCTGTCTCCCATTTCTTTGCATCGCTGTCCTCTCTGGGGAAGGCCCTGCCGAAGCCAGAGCCCCTGTGGCGCCCGCTGGGTGAAGGTGCCGAGGAAGCCGAGCCAAAGGGAGAGGCTAAGATGCTACTGGGAGAGAGACGACCAGTGCATGACGACCACAGGGAGGGCATACTGTTGCTGGTCCGTTCCACCTGGGAGCCAAGCCTGGAAGCAGGTGTGGCTGAGCAGATCTGGCAAGGCCCAAAAGCTACATGCAGGTCACCCCTATGCCTGCCCCACCTACAGCGTTCTCCAGAGCACAGATCCCGAGAGCATCTTCATCCTCCCAGGGCTAGGGCCCCAACCCCCCAGTCAACCCTGGCTCCTTTCTCTCCGCCTGTCGATCTGCTCTGACCCACCCAGGTGCCACAGGGGTACCTGCCGTCCCTGCTCCCACCCATACCTGCCTCATCCTAGCTCAACAGCCAGAGAAACCTTTCGGAAGTCATCGTGCCATTCCTCAGCTCCAAATCCTCCAAGACCTTCCTGTCCCGGGAGGAGAGTATTAAAACAATGTCCTTGCTGGGACATGAAGACTTGGTGCCATCCAACCTCCCACTGATCTCTGACCCTCCCTCAGCTCCAGCACTCGGCTTCCCAGGCTGCCCCTCCTGCGGAGCAGAACCTGGATGGAAGGAAGCAGCAAGGGCAGGTCCTGCCCATCGCCGCAAGTCCCAGCACAAAACACACCAAAGCCAGACCCTCAGTCACTTCTCTACCATTTTATTTTGGTCTCCAGCTCTGAGAAGGCTGGCCCCGCAAAGCCTCTTGACAGGCCTGGTACAGATACGTGCAACTGGAGGCGGGCAGCAGCGCTGGCAGGCCCTCAGAGAAAGCCTGCCTGTGCTTTCCTCGTAGGCTCTGAGCCGGGAGGAGAGCTCAGCCCCCAGGCCTCTTTTGCAAATGGCCAACAGCACACGGCCTATGTCCCTTGCTACAGGGTAGAGAGACAGTGGCCTAGCCCTCCCTCAAGGAGCAGGACAGGTGGCCCAGGAGGACCTGTCACCTTCTTGCGCAGGGAAGTGGGCACCAGGGTGCAGGGTGAGCAGCAACCCGCCCAGCCCGGGCTGCTCCTGTCTCCTTCACCGGCAGCCCACGGGGAGGAGCACAGGCCGCTGGGGTGTCTGCAGCAGGCACCTCTGCTTTTCCTCCAAACCTAAGAGGGAAAGGGCCCCCGAGCAGTGTCTGGGGACATCCAACTGACACACGACAGGCTCTGGCTCTGACGCACTTTAATGAGTGCCCCGTCCCCCTCTGGCCAGGCTGCCCGGAGGCCCCGGGCTGCTGTCCCACAGCTCTGCCGGCCACCATCTAGTCACAGGAGCCATCCTTCCAGCCATCCCGCCAGCGCTCGTCCACTTGCGAGCAGTCGAAGTCCGGCTTGCCCAGCTTGCGGTTCACTTCATTGTGCAGGCGGCACAGCCACTGGCTGAAGCATGCCCGAGTGCGTGTGTCTGGCTGGTTCCTGCGTATCCTGTGGGGGAAGCAGGTGGAAGGTGGGGACAGGCCGCGGCTCCTTGCCGGCTCCATGCAGGCGGGAGAGCTGAGGCGGCTGTCGGCTACGGCCAGGAGGGCCTTTGTGCTCTGAGAGACAGGCATTCCCAGAACGGGGCTGACCCTGCACTGTCCAACAGTGGCACACTCCTAGGCCTGCTCAACCCCTCACCTGGGGAGCTCGGCAAACCCGGAGAACTCAAAGCAAGACAATAAGGCACCAATCATGCAACTTTACAACCTCATAACAATCAGGAAGCCTCACCCCAGCATCCCTGGCCCCAGGCAGTGTGTGAAGGGGTGGGGCAGCACAAAGGCATAACTGAAAACCAGACCTGTTTCTAGCACCTGGGGCCCGGGGCCTCGGCCTAGCAAGAGAGCTGTTCTAACTGCCCAGGCTTCAAATGGCAAGGGCTGCCCTGGCCCCCACATTCAGCGCAGAAACACTTATAGGTACCAAACAACAGCTCTTGGGCTCCCCAGGGAGGAAAAGGTGGCTCCCAGAAGCAAAAGCAGTGGGTTCTCAAGGCCTTAAAATCAGCAGTCCTGCTCCAGAAGACAGGCAAAGTGGACTCATTAACCTGCCCGAGCCTCCAGGAGTACCAAGCAAGGGACTCTGTAAGTGAAGCTGGGCGGAGAGCCTCTGGTTGCAGGAGCAGCAGCCCCAGGCAGCTTGGCCCTTGAGGGGAAAGGAGACCGCTTAATTGATCCAGTGCCCACTGTTGGTGGTCCCTGCTCTGGGCGACCCTCTGCACCTGCTTCTCCAGGCTCCCCTTTATGACATCAGCCAGGGGGGCCCCAGACCCTGGCTCCAGGAGGGATGACTCTGCTGCCCACAGACAATGCAAACACACTTACCTCTTCCTTATATCTTCGGCACACTCCTCACACGGATAAAACTTGGAAAATAAATGTATGAACTGGGCCATGTCTTGCTGCTGTTCAGGGGTGGGCAGATCGGGGTAGTAGGCGGCCAGGGTGTGGAGGACAGCCCAGCTGTGGCGGCCCAGTTCCTCGCGGTCCTGAGGACAGTCTTCCCTAAACTTGCTGTCCCGCTGCGGAAGGAGGCCGACCAAGGGTCAGTTCGCCTCCCCGGACCGGAAGCCCGCAGAGCTCCCGTTTTCCCCCGCCCCAGTCAGAGGCCCACTGACTCAAGATGGAAGCCCGGCGGCCGCCGATCCCACACACGAGTGGCTGAAACCCTAAAGGCCGGGCCTCCCTTGGGAGCAAGGTGTAGGGACAGCCCACCCTGGTTGGGGAGGGGGCACAAGTCTGTGAGGCATAGAGCCCGTGAGACCGCTCGGCTTGGGCCTCTGGAGGGTCGGCGCAGACGCCTGAGAACAAGGTGTGGGGGCCGGGACCAGGGGAGGTGGCGGCCCCGGGCATCTGCACCTTCTGCTGCGTCCGCATCCACGTCTTGAAGTCCACGCAGGCCCGGCAGGGCCGCCTCCGGGAGGTGTCCTCGGAGACCTGAGGATCTGGGGTCGGCGTCGGGGCTGGCGTCGTGGCCGAGGCGGCGGCATCTCTCCGCCCCGCGCCCCGGCCGCGCGCGTCCGTCACTAGATCGTCCATCACCTCTGAGCGCGCGCCGCCGGGCAGGAAGGAGAAGAAGCTCCTGCCGCAGAAGCGGCCCCGCTCGCCGGGCGCCGCCATGTTGCCCGCGCAATGCCTGCCGGGCCAGCTCGGCCTCCAGATGGGCCTCCAAGTCGGTCTCCAGGCCAGCGCGCGCGCCGCTGCTAGGGCGCGGCCACAGGAGCCGGTCGCGCGCGCCGCGGGCGCGGAGGCCGTGCTCGAGCTGGGGCCGGGGCTGGGGGCGGGGGCGGGCGGAGGGGTGGGGCTCTGGCCCGCGGCGCACGCCCCAGAGGCCGCAGAGTCCGTGGCCGGGGTCTGGGCCGGCGCGGGCGCGGGGCTGGAAGCCCGGGTCCTGGCCGCCCGGGTCCTGGCCGCGCCCCTGAGCCTCGATCTGCGTCCCGAGCCTGACTTGCGTCGCACGTGGCTGCGCTCCCGCTTCCTCCAGTAGAAGAGCAGCGTGTTGTGGAAACCACGCCGCGGCCGCGCCGTGGACTCAGGCTGCGGCGGAGGCGAAGTCCGTGTTCCGGCCCGTGACGCCCCCATCGCTCCGCTCTGACCGCCCCGCGTGCCCGCGGCCAGGCTCTGTGCCCTCAGCTGGGGCGCGCCCAGCGGCCGGCCGCATGGCGCCCTGACAACGCGGGGTGGCGCGGTGAGCGCACAGAGTGGGGCGCGCGCTAGGGTCTGGGTCCCGCGGGTCCGCCCGGGCGACCGGCACCATGGCAACGGGCGCCGGCGGGTCTCTGGGCTCCTGAGGGCAAGGAGTAGCCTGGATCCCTATAGCCTGCCTGAAGGGGTTATAGCCACGTCGGGAGTGGCCGCAGCTTCTATACGTACATTTCATTCATCCTGCAAATATTTGTGTAGTGTCTAATCTGTTCCAAGTACTGGTCCAGGCGCTGGGCAGGGCGGGGCACAAGATCCGTCCCTGACCTCCTCTCTGGGCTCATTGTCCATTGGTCAAGACGGAAAAAGCAAAAACAAAACAAAAAAGGAGTCACACTAACAAATATTCCCTGACAAACGGGTGGGAACCATGAACAGGGGTGTGGTAAATCCGGGAGGCTTCCTTGAGGAGGTGACACTTAGGCAGAGGCCTGAAGGATGAGGAATCAGCTGAGGAGGGCAGTCAAGGCCATGGCTGGAGGTGGGCATGGGCAGAAAGGCCAGTGGAACAGGACTTGGGGAAGGTGGTGAGAGGAGAGGTCCAAAGGTGGGCAGGAGCACATGGAGCTGCCATGGGAGCTGGGAATTTAAGGACCATAGGAAGGTGCTGGACAATTTGGGGCAGGTCCACCCCAACCTGATCCCCTTTGTGTTTTGCAAAGATTTCTCTGGAGGGTGGATTTCATAGGAACTAGTGAGGAGTATGGGGGAAGGCCGGGGGGGGGGGCAGTTGTCCAAGGGATAGATGAGCCTGTGGTCTATGGAGAGAGAGAGAATGAAAAGGAACCAGGGTTGCTGGGGGTGTGAAGCAGGGGCTGTCAGTTGGGGCAGGGAGGGGGCCTCAGCACCCTTTAGGAGGTCCCTGGCTGTGAATAAACAGGCCCTCTCCCAGCTTTTCTCCTGGTCTTCCGGGGGAGAAGTGTCTGCCCCACCCTGGACCCTGCCAGGCCAGGCCAGGCCACTGAGGTCGGGGAGAGCGTGACAGCTGAGCTGAAGGCATACTGCAATTCAGGCCTATATCAGCAGGTGTTTGTTGCTTGGGCCAAGACCAGGGAAGGTTTGAGAGCCGCTGGTTGGACAGGTGCACAAAGGCCCTTTGTCAGGGCTAGGGTGATTTCCGGGAGGGATGTCCTAGAGGCTAACCCCTCCCTGGACAGCTTAGGGTAGGAGTCCCAACCTAGAGCTGGTGGCCCCAGCAGCACGAAGAGCTAAAATATACCAGGGTTGGATGGAGCTCTAGAAGTCTTTCCTATAAGGAAGCAGCCCAGACATGTGGGGCACCTGAGCATACGCTCTCTGGGGATTCTAGGGTCCAACCCCTCTTCACCCCAGTTAGTGGGGGAATTGTGACTTCTGATCTCAGGCTGTGTTTGCAGTAAATTGTGATAAATCATAAATTTAGAGGCAGCTCTCAAAACAGTCCTAGTCACCAACCCCCCTCCCCAAGTGCCAGTGACTGCAGAGAGGGACCCTCTTTGTCCTGCTCCAAGTCCCCCCACCACAGGGGAACCTCTGGGGTGAGCCTGTGAGGTCAACCCCCACATCCAGAAAAACTGACATTAATTATCTATTTAATACAAATTTCCTCCTCTGTGATTTGGAAACATTAAGAGACCTTTCCTCCAATGTGAGCCAAACAAAGTACATAAAGCTTTTAGCACTGGGTCCTTGGTTCCTGATGACAACAGCAGTCAGCTTCCAAGGTGAGTTCAAAGACAGAGCCATGGGGGCATGCCCTGGAGGAGGCTCCGCTAGTCCCAGCACCACACCGGGTGTGGGAGAGCTAGGAGAGCAGGGCCAAGCCTGGCGGCACTTTGAGGACTCTTCCTTTTCCTCCTCCTCCCACAGGCCAGACTCATGCCTGAGGGACTCAGGCCGCAGTCCCCACCCTCCACCGCCTCTCTGCCCCTCCCCCCCAAGCCCTGTCCTGTCCCTCTACCCGGATCTACTCTGGGCACAGTGAGGAAGCTGGGAAAGACCCAGGGGCAAGGCAGCGATACAAGGACCTGCCAGGTCTGGGGCATAGCCGGGGAATTCCAATCAGTCTTCCGGGTGCCCGGAGCCCCCTGCCTTCTCCCCCCAACCCCCACCGTGTGAGCCAGGACGCAGTGGGACCCTTGGCCACAGTTTGCCAGCTCCAGAAGCCCAGAACCGGAACCCGTGAGGCACAGCGATGGACGGCCCCCGGTACCCGGTGTCAGTGTGCGCAGCGGCCCTAGTGCAGACAGCGCGGCTTCAGGTATGACGGGCGGGGAGTCCCTGCCAGCCCCAAGGAAGAAGGAAGGAATTCCTGGCCCAGCACCTCCAAGGCGCCCCAACCTTTCTCCAACAGACATTTGCCTTCTCTGTGCACTGGTCAGATGACAGCGACACTTTTGTGCGCAGGAGCTGGGATGAATTCAAGACGCTCCAGGTGAGTGAGCCTGGGGCGAACCCGACTGCCCCCGGTGCCGGAGGGACCAATGGCCCGCGCCTGGGCACTTGCCCTTGAGCCCGTGAGGGCGTCTAGCCCCTACGACCCCCATCCCGGCAAGGAACCCTCACCCTCCCAATGGAACCGGTGGACTCTGAGACTGATTCGCTGGTTCTCCCTTAGAAGACCCTCAAGGAAACCTTCCCAGTAGAGGCGGGCCTGCTGCGGAGATCTGACCGCGTTCTCCCCAAGCTTCCCGGTGAGGCCGTTAGGGAGGCCCGCAAGGATCCCGGGAGGGGCAGGGGCACCAGCGGCCTGGTGGAGGGAACCCTGGGGCGGGGTCCCACAGTCCGTTCCCGTCGTGTCCGCAGACGCATCGCTGTTGATACGCGGGGGGCGCACGGGCCGCGGTCTGGCGCGCCTGCGGCTGCTGGAGACCTATTCGCGGGCGCTGCTGGCTGCGGCGGCGCGCGTGTCTCGGAGCCCAGCGCTCACCGGCTTCTTTGCACCGCAACCCCTGGACCTGGAGCCCGCGCTGCCACCCGGCAGGTGCCTGACTCGTCCCCAACTCCCTGCCCGCAAAAGCCCTTGGAGGCTGGGGGAGGAGCGAAGGCTGAGCGGACTGGGGAGGGGTGGCAGGCCCTCACCACACTTCCCACCCGCCCCTCGCCTGTACCCTTCCCAGTCTGGTGATCCTGCCCGCTCCTGAAGAGCCCCTACCCCGCCCGGCGGACAGCCTTGCCATCCGTGGCCTGGAGGCTCAGAGCCTGCGCTGCCTGCAGCCCTTCAGCACCCAGGACACGCAGGGCCGACCTTTCCATGCACGGGCCCAGGAGATCCTAGACGTGCTGCTGCGACATCCCTCAGGTGGGGCTGGACAGGACTGAGAGCTCGCCCATTTGCCCCCAGGACCCAAGAAGGCTTGGGGGGTCTGAACCTCCGGCCACCTCTTGCACACAGGCTGGTGGCTGGTGGCAAACGAAGACCAGCAGACAGCGTGGTTTCCTGCTCCCTACCTGGAGGAAGCGGCCCCGGGCCAAGAACGACGACCCCTAGGGAGTAGTGGTAATTACCCATCCCACCCCCGCCAAGCCAGCCACCACCACTGGGCAGTGTGCGGCAAAGCTGACTACTGGAAACAGCTGAGCGAGCGCTGGACATGGGGACAGAATGTCCTTGGTCCCATCATCTGGGGGATGCCTGAAGGTGGTGACTCCATGGGCGGAGGAGATAGAGGTGGGAGTCCTGGTCCCTGAGGCCTCGCAGTGACCCCCAAATACCCACTCCCAGGGTCTCAATTCTGCGCTTTTCAAGCCTATGAAAGCAGCCACGCAGATGAACTGTCAGTGCCTGCGGGGGCGCGCGTGCGCGTGCTGGAAACTTCGGATCGTGGCTGGTGGCTCTGCAGGTGCGTGGGGGTGGAGCTTGGGCGGGGCCCAGGATGGGGGGAGGATCCAGCGACCGCCAAACCCCACCCTCCTCCCCGCCCCCTCGCAGGTTCGGAGGGCGCTGCGGTCTCCTCCCCGCTGTGCTGCTGCGACCCGATGGGCTGGGCGCGCTCCTGAGTGGCGCAGGGCTCCACCGCGAGGAGGACCGTGAGGAGGACAGGGTGGGAGAGGCCCAAGGCTCCCCAGAGAACCCCCAGGCCACAACCCCTCCCCCTACCGTGCCCACCCGCCCTCTGTTGAGCGCCATCCAGAGCCGCTGCAGCACCATAACCCGCAGGGCACTGGCACGCAAGGACCCCCGCGAGGGCGTGTGGAGCTGCACAGAGGGCAGGCCCAAAGCCCCAGACCCCAGGGATGACTGACACCAGCCATGCCGCCACCACCACCACCACCACGGCTGGGGGAGGAGTATTTGAGGGTGGGACCCCGTGGCTGGCAGGGCCAGGAAACCATACTCTCCCATTTCCAGAGTAAAGCTCTTCTGACTGAGGCACAACCCAGTGTCTGTGCTGAGAAGCAGGGCCTTCTGGGTCTTGGCCAGGCCGGGGCAACCGTGGGGCAGGTTAGGGCTGGGGGCTGGGGACCTGGAGTGAGAGACAGTCCACACATGGGGAGTCTGGATAGAAAAGGACAGCCTTCGGCATGTTTCAGAGAGCTGAGGGAGCCACAGAGGGGGCCGCAGGGAGGGCGGGCAGCTTCATGTTGTGCCACAAGAAGTCCAGGAAGGTGGCTGCCTGCAGTGTCCGGCTGAGCCGCTGAAAATGTCGCTCTGGGGGAGGACACAGGGATGTCAGGGGCTTCGTGGGGGCTGGCCAGCAGCTCCCGCCCCGCCCAGGGCCGGCCCATATACCAGTGTAGGGCAGTAGGGCCTCGAGGGAAGTCTGCACGCCAGGGTAGGCCAGGAGCTCTTCCGGGGCCTCGTGCCGCAGGAGCACCCCCAGCACAGCCTGTGCGTCGTGACAGTGCCTCGAGTTGGTGTTCCATGTGACACAGAAGCGCAGCAAGGCCTCTGGGGGGAC